TGTAATGCTCCGTGACTTGTCGATGATTCATTATTCATACTTAGGGCATTATTATTCCATTGTATGCGGTGCAAAATGGGATCATTAGCGCTGAATATGAGAATGTGAAAAATGGAAATATTGGGGAAAATGGTGGTGGATATAGTGGGTAGGAAACCCCAAACAATCCCGACTATTAGCAGATAAAGAATGGTAATTTCCCCAGAAGTAATTAGGATTAGCATAATTTGACGGTGCATGAATGATGCATGGATGATTGATATGTCGATACACGCACTGTAATGAGTCCCTTATCTCCACTCTCCACTGAAGACTTTTGTATGGAGCGTAGCCTGAGGTGCAATCTACTGTAGTTGTAGACCTCCGCGGGGGACTGTGTTAGGGAGAACCCTGCCTCATACAAACACAATTATACAAGCACAGTCACTGGGGCTACAGTAGAGTAGAAGTAGTGGTAGCATAGCACCATCCTGTAGTGAACTGATTGAAGATAGTCCTTTTATCTTGACAGGCTCCCTGTTACAGCCAGACCAGGAAATATGATATGGCAGCTCATGTTCTCTTTCTTCCTCTCAGAGAGACAGTCTGTGTGTCTGTACATACAGTACGTACATGTATGTGTGTCTGTGTCGTCCTGCCATTGTGCTTGTGTGTATGTACTCTAAGTATGCTGGAGCGATCTGTGTGCATGTGCATATTAGTGTGCAGCTGTACAGCATTATCAGCCACCACGCATGTCGTCAGTCACTTTGAGCTGCTTTTAAGTGACAGCTATCGATTGGATGTTTGTGTTGTTGCAGAGGCTTCAAAGCAACGCCTTGCCCTCTGCATCCCACTTGAGAAAGTAACTCTAGAGTACCCGCATTGAATACAGCAGCAGTACAGCATGTCCTTAGCTTCAGAAACACATTCTTCAAGCAAGATCTGTGTGCATCTGTGTAGTTGTGTGTATGTGTTGTTTAAGTGTGTGAAACATGATGTCTTAAATTGACTGTTCTCCTTTTTGACCCTGCTGCTTCTTCACAACTTAATTGACTTTTTCTTCTGCTCAGTGATGAACCAAGGATCAGTGTAAGATACTGTCATCGCACTCGCACCAACACCCATAGACACAGTACCTGGTAATTCTATACACACTTTTTAAGTGTATATAAACTTAATTTTCAAGGGCCAGTTCACTGAAATTATAAAAACACTTTTTCACACATCCACCTCTGATGGTATTTAGCCATACTGATGTATCAGTCCTAAGATTAGCAAGCTAGGCTAACTAGGGTCATATTTTCCGAGTGGAACTTAAAAGCACAAGGGATCCCTCCAAATACTAAATGCTGAAGGGGCAGTCTGAGGCTTAATTAAATCTTAATGGTATATAACCAAAAACTATGTTGGTTTGTTCAAGAAACAGGAAAAACACAGGACTATACAGTTATATAACTTGTTCAAGTCAGTAATGCACCATGAAGTTAACAGTGCATCTTCTAACAATGCCGATCCTAAATCTAAATATGTCTTAATATTGTCAATATAAATGTAGTGTTAAACTAGACTTTACTCTTTAAGCAGACAGAGAAGCTCACACATAGACGCATATACAAAGACTTCTCCATAACCTCTGCAACCATTCTGCTTGATAAAATATAGGCTTGAGATCTCTCAATTATTCTTCTCTTTTCCTACAAAACAAGCCTTTAACAGTTTTACCCTGTGGCTACAGATCACACATTTCACATTATAGAATCATTATGCATATATCATCTACAATAACTGCACAATGGACGAGTAAACTGGACCTATTACTTGAGGGAGTTACTAGCTGAGTGTCAGTTCAGTCTTCTTTGGTGCAATGAGCTGACCCCAAATAACCCCCTCCCTCACTCTGCCTTTCTTTTGTACACACCCTTTCTCTCGCTCTCTTTCTCTCCGCCTTCCCCTCACTTCTTCCTCCATTCAGAGCCGTCTGAATATAGGTCAGCATTCTCTAAAATCCTCATCCTGCTGAAAGTTTGATAAGTGCACTCCAGGTGGTAGTGGGCTGAATATTACATTTGTAATTGGGGGTCCCAAGTATCCACTATTGGAATATTCTGATTATTAAAGAGAATCAGCCATTGCCCAGAGGGCCTCAGTATCATTCTGTGTGGTTCTCTTAATGTGCTGTTAATATGTTCTTAGATATAAAGAGAATTCAATATCTGTTTTTTACTGTGTTTAAAGGGTTAGTTAACCCAAATTACAAAAAAAGCACTTGCCTCTGGTGGTATCGAGCCACGCAGATAGTTTTGTTTTTCTTTCCCAAGTTTGGAGAGATCCATCTCTGAGTTTTTTGCCTCCATCCCAGTGCAACAGAGGTGAAAGGAATTATGTTTGTGGCGCTCACAGCATTGAAAATTTGCTTTAGAAAAATTCAACAGCAACATGTCTTTCCAGAAACAGTATGCTGGTTATTCTGGATATTCCAGCTCATTGTGAACAGAGAAACATGAACATGTAAGAAATTAAAGGGAAAACCCTGAATATAAACAGAAACATAATGAATGCAGACAGCTTAATGAGTATAAAAATGATGTGAATCACATGCTATAGCCTTGGCAGTCACCAGACCTAACTGGAAACCTATTGGACAGATTGGAGAGATGTGGGATAGCGGCCAGACAAACTTTCTTCACTAAGCTGAGTGACATCAGAAATGTACTGGAAAAAATGGTTTCCCTGTAGGCTCCACAAGTGATTGATTGATTGTATTATTATATTAGTATTAGTATATTATATTAGTATATTAACATATGCCTATAGTGAAATAAAGCTGGAATTATAGCAAAACTGGGGTCTTGCTCATATGTTATAGATACAGTTAGTTTACACTCCTTTACACAGCACTCTTCAACACAATCATTAAAACATCAAAAGAGAACATGTATTTTAGAAAAATGTCATTTATATATCTAACAGAGTTTTGTGGTGACCTAACACTGTACAAAGACACCTGATGTTGGTAGTTTGTCACCCATCTGTAGTGCCATGAAAACTGCTCACAGCCTGGTCTTTGGATTATCCACAGTACCAGGGAGACTCTGAAAAGACACATTGCTCTCAGTTTCACCACAACCAAAATTCAATTCACGTCCTTTGGGAGGAGGCAGAAATCTCAGACAGATATCGAAAAACCTGGCCAAAGAAAAATCCAAGCTATCTGCCTGGCTACATGTCACTGAAGCCAAGAGAGAAAGTATGTTAGTTTTGGTTGAACCGACCAAAGTAAAATACATCTTTATAAGCTGCTCTTCTGTGAGCTTTACTTAATTCGCAAATTTATCGGTTTACTAATGTAACAAATGGTTGAATGTGCAACCTACATGCAGCTTCTTTAAAATGGAATCTTTAAAAGAATTAACTTTTTAAAGAAAGGGTACAGTGCTTCTGACTGTCGCCTGTATTGGGATCTGGGCCTTTCACTCTGGCTCTTCATATTTGCACAATTAAAGACCCAGCCCGCTCAGCCCCACTCTAACAGCTGGCCATTAATCAGACCTCGCACTCGATTTCTCTTCCGCCACAGGTTATGATTTTCACATTACTCCACACTCCTTCACCGCCATCCGAAGGGAAAATGACCCCAACCCCCTCAACACCACTGCCGCCACCACCAACACACATAGACACACACCTCGAATGTCTTAGAAAGTGAGACATTTGCATGAAGCAAACCACACACGGGCCATGCATGGTGAGCAAGGAAGGTGTTTGTGTGCGTGCGCGCGTGTGTGCTCACGTGTGCCAATATATAATCGTGTGTAACATCTTGTAACCACAGCAGCAAGTTTCCCCCCCACCTCACACCTATTATCCTTTTCTAATTACACTTTCCTTCTGAAACAGTGGATCAGAGGGCGCCATTGACTGCTTTTAATCTGCCACCAAATTTTAATTAACACAGACGTGACCCCCGTCTCCGATACATCCCGGAGAACGTCGGGATCACAATAACTCATAAATCACAGCCACAGATTTCATTCCCTCCGCTTTCCTCCGGTGATGAATTTCCAGATGGGGGCTGGTGGCTGTTAATGTCTGGAAAAATATGAAAGACAGAGGGACAGAGGAAGACAATAACAAGATGGACCGAAAGGATATGTTTAAGAGAAATATAATTGAGGGTTTATGTGTATGTAGCAGAGATGGAGTTGAAGAAAGAGACAGAGAAATGGAAGTATCTCTGGTATGATGTCAACCTTTGAGAGATTTGTTACCGGGGAGAGCATTATGGCTGTGAAATGTGGTTGTGTTAATATGCAGAGTGTTGAGGAACACGATACGGGGCCAGCCAACTTCATAGTCTGTAAAAATCAAAAGGCTGAACAAGTGAAATCTGAAAATGACTCAGTGATGTTCTGAAGAATTAATCTGCACCTCTATCTGTGTATGTGAGTGTGTACATGTGTGTATCATTTCTTTAATCATGGACTTTTCATAAATTATCATCACATGAATTATTCTACTTGGTGAAGTTAATGCATATGAGTTGTCATTAAACTGCAAACTACAAATAAGAATTGCAGCAGTGATGGTCTGTATTCTTGATTTGCACGGTACTCAGTGCTTGTGTGTTTTTGTTTGTGTTTGCACAAAAGTGTGTGTGTGTGTGTGTGTGCGTGCATATACATACATGCATGTGTGTATGTGTTTGTGAGTGGAGGTGGAGGTGGGCAGGGTGCCGGGGTTTGTTATTACTAAATCGCTCATCCATGCTACTAATTAAGATGCATAGCATCCCCCTATGAACGTCAGTGTCGCTAATTATCAAACAATGTAGTGCTCACCAGATATGAGAACTGGCAGCCTCTGTAGTCATGTTACCAACCTATTACTGCTACAATTACCAAGTGCCTGTCAGTCTCCTTGTTAGTCATCTGCCTTCATTTTTTCTTTACTAATGCCTGTCTTTTTTCTTTATACTCTCCCCCCTCTCCCTCTCTCCCTCTCTTCTTTTCTCTCTCCAGGCTATGGCTTTGTGGATTTTGACAGCCCAGCTGCAGCACAGAAGGCCGTGTCGTCTCTCAAAGCCACCGGGGTGCAGGCCCAAATGGCCAAGGTAAGGAGTGTTTAAAAACAAGTTAGCATTACCACCTCCTTTTGTATTATCATTACCAGTTTGCTGAGCATACAGTTCCCTCCAGGGATTTAATATTGTGCACTTAACACACTTAATAGATGTTGATGGATCTGAAAGCTCCTACATACAAACTGGTTTTTGCCCATAAACACAGTTTTATAGAAAGTAATTTTCCGCACTGCTTTGCCATTTAATGACAAAGTTCTTCCTTCTAATATAAGAAGACTCTTAAATGTGGGCTTTTAACTACATTTGTGTATCGTTATATGACAAGTTGTGGTGAATGTAGGTCTGTTTTATCTTAGGAACACTCTGTGACAGGGCAAAGCTGTAGTTTCATACTATCCAGTATCAACACTTTGCTTGGACATGTGCGGGTCCCTTGTTTTAAGTGGTCATGTGGACTTAGTCATGTGTAAGAGGATGTGTGTGTGTGTGTGTGTGTGTGTGCTGTAATATTCTGCTGCAAACTAACTTGATTGCCAGTGTGTGAGCTGGCCCTGCAGTAATTGAGGTTTGACCAGCCACTCGTCCTACGTTGTGCAGTGTTATTAGCCTGCTAAAGTGGAAGCAGATGAGACAAGCTGTTTCAGCAGTACAAAGAGGGCCCTAGTGAGTTGCACAATGGAGCCAGGTTGACAGATATAGACACACATGAGAGGTATGGCTTAGAGTAAAAAACACACAAGCAGGGTATGTACTTATTCACCCTTAGAACCTTGTATTGTTACATACATATTACATATTTGGCAGTCTGTCAGTTTGAGCAGATTGTCAACTGGCTAACTGGCTCATTAGCTGTACCCCAAAAGAGAAGTGGTGCCAGAACAAGAACATCAGTGTTATTGTTTAATTTATGTCAATTCATCAGTCCAGGCCAGCAGTGATCATGCTGTCCTTTTCTCATTTTTCTTTCCTAAATTTTTCATTTCTTTGCTGGCTAAAGAGAGAATCCTCATAGACTAAAGCACAGCAGGACCCGCTCCCCGGACATCTGTGATAGACGGCTAAACTGGGCTATTTTTATATCACCAGATTTGCTGGTGTCAGAATATTTAAATAGGTGAACAAAATGTCAGTAGCATTAAAGCAATGAATATGGTGATTACTATGAGGGTACACTATGAGTGATTTTCTCAGATGAGATGGTCCGCATTTGATCTGATCCAGAAATCCCCCCCTTGAAGCCAAAGAAGCCCTGATGAGATGGAGAATGGCGATGGCGCCAGTGAAGATGACAGAATTGATGATAACGATGAAGGTGGCAATTATTTTGATCAAATGGGATGAGATCTGACAGGAGGAGATGATATTCCGTGCGGTGCTCAGGTGTGCCATTTCTCAAATGCACCATTTGGCCGTTTCCTCTCCCCACCAGTGTCCTTCTTCCAATATTTATAAGAGGGCAGGCTCTCAGAATACAGATAAGAAGCCGTGCTCTTTGTCCGTCTCATTTTAAGACCACACTTTGCATTGCTCCCCTTTTCTCAGTCAATATTTTCATGAGAGAGATCTTGTGTCCCAAAACAAAAGAGCTGACCTTTTTAAGAATGTTTGTTTGCATATGTGTGTGTGGGCACATTCACGAAATCATTTTCTATTAGCATTTGTGTATAATAGTTTGTTTTTGAATGTCCCCTTGTTCTGTTCACACAAATGGAAAGGCCAGCATTCTGTGCTGCAGTTCTGCCCTTTTATCACACTTGTGAGAGACATTAAGGAGTGGTTTGCTTTTATAGACTCCCGCTGCATCTCTCTAATGTCTCCTTACCAGTTATCACTACCATCACTCTGTCGGCTCCTCCTCCTCCACATCACTTCCTCTTCTCTCTAACCCCCATCTCTTTCGCTTAATGCCGTTTTTTCTTGCCATCTTTTTTCCTCCGTACATACATACTCACACATTCATAAACACATTTGTATTCACACCCACCATGTGTTCCCCTGCCAAACATCCAATGAGTGCAATTTATTCCCATCAATAATTAACAGCAGGCTGTCTTTGTGTCTGCCTACCTGCCAAGGTGTCTTTGACACCCCCCGCTCCGTCATGGCGGAGCAGCCTTCCCTTGGCGAGGCCGGATGAAAAACCCAGGTGCACACTGAGGAAGGTGTAAATCACAAAGACGATTGGTAACGCCACAGACGGCTTTCACAATAAGAGCATTCAGCCTCATTCTCTCACTCCCCCTGCTGCATTTTGTCACATATATCTCTCCACAACAAAGTAATAAACGGATAGCAAGTCAGAGCCAGAGGCTTTGAGCTCATTAAATAAAACCGTCACAGTAATCAAGTTGTGCCTTTTTTCATGCCTTGACGCCATTAAAACGCTTTTATTAAGGTGCCTTATTTTAAACACAGCTGCAAAAGAGGCAAGAAGAGAGAAACAGAGGGAAAAGGGAAGCGTCACTTGATTTCCTCCTCTTCCTCCAATGTAACAGCCTGCTGTCTCTCTCCTCTTACTCCCCTTGGAATTTGAAATACCAAGGCAGCAGAGATGAAACATTCCTTTCCTTTTGTCTTGCCCTCCCCTTGGGATGGTGACAGCAAGAGGGAGGAGAGGAGCCATAATTAAGACACCTAAAGGACACTTCCCCCCTGCACCTCCCTTTCTGTCACTCACCTCTACACAAGTCACAGATAAGAACACTTAGCATAGGTGTGGAGTATGTGTGTGTATTTTATCTGTATGTGTGCAAGTTTGTGCATGAATTTGACAGCATATGTGTGTGTGCCTGTGCAGATATCCTTATTTGTGTGCTTGTATACACATAGCATTTCATTATTTTTGTGTGCAGTCACACAGCTAAACACACGTTTTGTGTGTATTTTCAGGTATAATGTAATGTGAATGTAAAAATGTATAAAAATACATCAGAACGTGTCTTTTGTATGTTTGTATTTGAGCATATTAATCTGTTGAGGATTCTGAGGAATCATAACGTGACAGTATGATCACAATGAGTTACCTTTTAAAAAAAATTATAATAATAAAATAAGATTTTTTTTATATTTATGAGTGATATATGTAAGAGTTTTCAGTTATAGACTAGCCCTCAAGAATTGTTTGACGGTGAAGGTGATTAGCCTAGCTTAGCATAAACACTGGAAGCAGGGGGAAACAGCTAGCCTGTTTTGGTTCAATAATACCTCTACAAATGAAAGACATATGTTTATTAGAAGCTAGTTGTTCTCCCTTTTCCTACAGTAGTCTTTATGCTAAGCTAAGCTAATCACCTCTCAGCTTTAGTTCTGTACTGTAAAATAATCATAATCCATGCATTTAATAAAAATTTTGTCAATCATAAGAGTATATCAATAATCACTTACAATAGAATATACCACACATTTTAGTCTACCTGTGTATGCATGCATGTGTTTGTGTGTGAGAGAGAGATATTGAGTGCAGGCACGTATTTGCCTCCTCACACCGCGGACTCTATTCTCTATGTCACTTTGTTCAGGTAGCTTTCCGAACTGTGAAAACTGACACGTTGAGCAGACAGAATGATAACAGGTAAACGGCGCGTCTAGCTCCGCAGATGCAAACCTGTCAACCAGCCGCTGGCCTCACTCTCCACAGGCTGCCATTTTCCCCTTGAGCCAATCAGACTGAATTATGGGAAGGGCACCCTCGATTGTGGTGTCTGTGTCGGAGAGGTAATTCCGCCTGACAGCTGCTTGCTTTCAGACAACAGCCAGTCTTTATGGAAATCATCCCTCCCTATTCTCGCTGCAGTCGGCTTCTGCTGATAACGGCCCGAATGAAAACAAAGCTGTCCTTTTCTGCTTTCTTTTTTTTTTTTTCCTCTCAGTATGGACAACCCAGAATTAGCTAAACATAACACATATGGAGTCAGACAAAGTACACCCTGCTTTGGAGTTATACATCCTTAGGGCCAATATAAACTTAAAGTGGACATTTGCTGTCTTTGGATCTGACCAGATCTCGTGAAGATGTATGTGAATTTGTGTTATTTCCATTGTTTTATCCTTCAAAGGGAAAATTCCTCTGTGGTTTCTATTTTTGAATCCTGGCATGTCAAATATGGTTTTCTTCCACAATAATAAGAGAAGAAAATTAACAAATTTCACACTTCAAAATATTATATAAATAACCTTTTGTCACTAAGGTGTCAAACAAAGCAATGGTACTGGATTTTTTTGAGAGTTTTGAGACCAATGTCCTGGTTTAAGCAGTGAGAGCGAAGCCTGTGGTGCAGTATGCCTCCATTACTACCCTCGATCCAATAGCCAATATTTATAAGGTTCACAGAAGCTACAGGCAGACAGAAAGACGCTGCTTGCCCTTCACTTCACATTACAGTGGGGAAATTATGCTAAAAGCATCATTAAAGTGCCTCCACGAAGTGAATCCCAAATGTTTATGATAACACAGTGCTCGCACCGGCCCATCAACCAGTATTCACCAGCGGATGCTTCAGATGGTTTAACGGTGTGAAACGAACCAGAGTTTTCAGTCCTCTTCCGCTCTCTCTCTCTCATTTATGCTCACTCCCTTTCACTTGGTCTGTCTCTTCTGCTGTCTTTTCCTTTCTCTCTCCTGGGGAAGATTTCCTGTCAATATCACATTTATATTCATGTGAAAAGCACGGATCCCCCTCTGGGTGGTCTGCAGTCAGTCAGCAGTCTTCTTATTATCCTTTAAAGGTGACTCCTCTGACGTCTTAGCGCCGTTGACACCCGGGACCCCACGCTCAACACAGGGTGACCTCTGGGCGTTAATCAAAGGGATGGCTGACAGTGCAGTTACAGTTGGTTGCTGACAACAGCTAGCCTAGCGAAGCCTGTCTTTTCCCGCAAGCATGGGTTAAATCTGGGGAGAATGTAAGGGGAAATACGTTGTATTGTGAATACAGCAGGATAATTGGGCAGACTTTGGGGATACAGGTGCGCACTCAGCAGCATCACTCACCTCTCCGCTCGATGTGCGCCACCTTGAATGCGATGCCATT